GGCTTTCCTTTGTCTCCTGTGATAGCGAATTTGTACATGGAAGATTTTGAAACAAAAGCAATAGCTGCAAGCACACTAAAACCATCTGCTTGGTTTAGATATGTGGAAGACACATTGTTGGCCTGGCCACACGCCAAAGATACACTGAACGCATTTCTAAATAATATCAACTCACAAAACCCATCCATCCAGTTCACCATGGAAGTGGAAACTAACAGAACTCTACAATTTCTGGGTATTCTGCTCGGATGGAGTCGAAATGGTTAAAAAAATAACACATTTACCGAAAGAAAACGCATACTGACGCCTATCTGAATGCAGTCACACCATCACCCTACGCAGAAATCTGCTCATTCATCGAGCTAAGAAAGTGTCAGATGGTGACAGTCTGAGAAGTGAAATTCAACATGTTAAAGAAGTGCTGCAAATGAACGGTTACAATGATGCACAAATCAACAGGGCATCGAATGCCAAGACCAAATCAAATAACACCAGCATTGAAACTGCCCAAGTAATTAAAACGATCAAAATACCGTACATTGCGGGAGTAATTGATAAACTAGCCAGATGTTAGGAAAAACAAAATATCTGAGTCAGATTTGGCACGGTACATAAAATACATAAATTAATATCTGGTACAAAATATGTATTACCGAAGCTATCAACAGAAGGTGGGTACATGAATAATTGCACGTGTGGTAAATGTTATGTTGGGCAAACAGGACGAATGATCAGCACGAGACTAAAAGCACATCAGGTGAAATACTAAATTCTCCCAAATAGAACCGTCAGCAGTATCAGAACATGCGTGCCAAAACAAGGACACTCAATTGATTTTGATAATGTCAAAGTTCTGTGCAAAACTAGTTACTACTGGCCAAGACTAATTCGAGAATCTATCGAAATTTAAAGAAATAAAAGTTACTTTAACCGTTCGGATAGCTACCGCCTTAGTGCTGCGTGGAAGCGAATCATCAAATAATACATTACTTAAATGCTTGCCGACATAGGGATTACCGTTGGTACGGCTATTTTAATACACACACTAGAAGGGAAGGACAAGTTCAAAGGGCTCGCATAATGGACGTTGACTCAGTAACCCCCCCCCCCCCCCCCACGTGGCGCAAGAGCGCAGAAGCGTGGTCACCACATCTACTCCTCTCTATAAGGAACGAAACAGTAAGACTTCTCCACAAGTCTGACTGTCGCCCGATGAAGCTAGTTGTATTTATTGGCGAAACGTCATACTCAGATTATTGTAAATGTTGTGGCTTGGCTCTCCAACACACCGGTGTGCTGTACTAGTATACTACACTATACACTACACTATACACTACACTATACACTAATGCTGTACTAGTGACGAATTGGCATGTTCTGTTTACGTCACAACCCTTACGAGTTGGCTGTGTCGGGTGGTGGCGGGTTTTAACGACACATTTATATATTTACGTGATCTAACTCCAAAAACCTAGATTATGGATAAAAGAGATTGCGAGGGGGGACGACTCCAGGCGCTGCTAAGAGAACGTGGTGATGTCTTCATCCGGGGTTACTTATTGTTTGGAACGCATTCCTCTAACGCAGTGGTTCTTAACCTGGGTTCGATCGAACCCCAGGGGTTCGGTGAGTCAGTCTCAGGGGTTCGGCGGAGGTTAAGACACACACCCGACTCATGATTCGTGATGACACGTCCGGCTTGGCCATCATTGGCTGCAAGTGATCACGCTACATCGCTTGGCCTATCTGTGCTGAAGGGAATTTGGTGCGCTCGGTAGTCGACTTGTGACTGTCGTGATGGTACGTCGTGTGATTTCTATCTTAATATTTTAATCCCTTCATACTATGTCGAGCAAAAAAAAAAAGTGGTCGGACGAATATGTACAATATGGATTCACATGTATAACGGAACGTGATGGGAGTCAGCGTCCTAACTGCATGATTTGCAATGCCAAGTTGAGCAAATTCTAGTCTAGCACCGGCAAAACTAAGGGAACACTTCCTTAAGCTGCATGGAGATGGGGAATACAAGAACACAACGCTCGCTGAATTCAAGGTGAAGAGAGCCAGATTCGATGAAAAGGCTACTCTGCCTGTTCTCGGCTTTGTACCCATCAACAAACCGATCCTCACAGCATCGTACGAAGTTGCTTACCTGATCGCAAAGCAGGGCAAACCACACACCATTGGTGAAACACTCATAAAACCAGCTGTGTTGAAGATGGCGAATATCATGCTGGGAAAAGCGGCTGAAGTTAAGTTATCCCAAATTCCTCTTTCAAATGACACCATCGGCGACAGAATAGAGGACATGAGCAAAGACATCTTGGCTCAAGTAGTTGCAGATCTGATTTCAAGCCCGGCAAAATTCAGCCTGCAACTCGACGAGACCACAGACGTTTCCAATCTAAGCCAGCTTGCTGTATTTGTGCGCTATGTGAAAGACGACGTGATAAAGGAAGATTTTTTTTATTTTGTAAGCCTCTTACAACAACAACTAAGGCAGCCGATGTGAAGAAACTTGTGGATGACTTCTTCAAAGACAACAATCTTTCGTGGGATATGGTTTCTGCAGTTTGTTCGGACGGAGCTCCAGTAATGCTGGGAAGAAAGTCTGGTTTTGGTGCGCTAGTGAAAGCCGATGCACCACACATCATTGTTACGCATTATATTCTGCACAGGCATGCGTTGGCAACAAAAACCTTGCCTCCAAAACTGACAGAAGTATTAAAAATTGTAGTGGAATGCGTGAACTATGTGCGAAATAGTGCTCTGAGGCAACGCATCTTCAGTGAGCTGTGTAAATAAATGGGCTCTGAATTCGAGGTACTTCTGTACCATTCTAACGTTCGGTGGTTATCCCGGGGACAGGTGCTGAATCGTGTTTTTGCCATGCGTGTGGAATTAGCCCTGTTTTTGCAAGAGCACCAACATTGTCATGCAGATTGCTTCAAAAATTCTGAGTTCATTCTCATTTTAGCGTACATGGCTGATATCTTCGCAGCTCTCAATCATCTCAATCAGCAGATGCAGGGCGGTGGAGTCAACATCATTGAAGTGGAAGAAAACCTGAAGGCTTTTCAAAAAAAGCTACCGTTATGGAAACGACGAACAGAGAACGATAACTTCGCAAACGTTCCCCTGCTGGACGACTATGTAAGTGTAGAGGTGTAATTGTGTAGATGTATGGGCACGGGTGGGTAACAAGCACAAGGGGCGTGGTTAGGGCCATACACAGAGGAGGTGCTCACACGGACGTCCGCACCTGCATCCCCCACGGGCCCCTCCCGGGGGCCGAGTGCTATAAAAGGTGGTGAGCCGGAGGGTTCGAGGTCGAGTATTAGCTTTAACCAGCGAAGAGTGAAGACCAGCTAGAATAGGCCCCGGAGCTCCCCTGGCTCGCTGTCCTTGTCAGGGCCGACCAGGGCAAGCCGGTGGCGTGGCCCCGAGAGCCCAGACTGACGTTCTTATAAGAGCCGGTCTGGAGACTCAGGGTGCCGGGATCCCAGCTTGACCAGGGCTGGGATAGGTAGCCTCCCCTAGCTCCGTAGTGGAGGACTCGGGCGTAGGTTAGCGGGGTTAGACGTTGTGTCTCCCTGTTAGACGAGTGAAGGGGACGATACCCCTTCAAGTGCTGTGTGTACCCGTTACTGTGCACAAGTTGGTATTAATAAATAAGTGTGCCTCCGACCCCGTCGTCCAAACCTCTTGCAACTTACTACATAAGTAAGATCGAAGATGTATCTGGAATCGGAGACATTTCTGTACCAGCGGAACTGAAGCAAACAATTGCAACGCACGTAGATGAGCTTGCAAAGTCTCTCGACGGATACTTCCCTACAAGAGAGTCATATCCAGCATGGGTGAGACAGCCGTTCACGTTTAGTGTTGAGACAGCAGATGTCAATGATGACACCTCGACGAAATCATTGAAATTCAACAGAGCCAGGTTCAACAGCAACTCTTCAGAACAACAACGCTCTCAACGTTTTGGTGTCAACAAATGGTAACGTACCCTGTTATTGCTAAGAAAACCCTGGAGATTTTCATACCGTTTGTTACAGCATATATTTGCGAGCAATCCTTTTCGAGGATGCTGGACATAAAAATGAAGAAAAGGAACAGACTGTGTTGCGAAAATGACATGAGAGTGGCACTTGCCAAGGTGAAGCCACGCATTTCTGAACTGGTCTCTGAAAGGCAACAGCAGAAGTCACACTGATTTGCAGTAAGTATTCATTATTTTGTTTTTGTGTGAAAATCATGTTTTGCTGGTGTTGTTCTTTGAACACAAATGATGTTGATGCACGGTTCATTTTGTGCACCAGTAAAACATATACCTATGTTTTGAATTTGAAAAAATCATATTTTATTTTTCCCATTAAGAAGGGTTCGGTGAATGCGCACATGAAACTGGTGGGGTTCAGTACCTCCAACAAGGTTAAGAACCACTGCTCTAACGGAAGAATCGCATCGATACGGGGAGCGCTCCACCTCGTCGGCATCCCCCTCCCCCCAGGAGGAATCCCAGTCGGGTCATGAGGAGGCGCTCAGCGACCACCACCGCTCCAGCCTCCAGCAGCCCGTGGGCGGCGCCGGTGGTCGTTGTAACGACGCCCCGCTGTGGTTTTGCGTGGATTTTTCGCTGCTGAAATAGTCACAGTAGCTGACGCCCCCCCCTGCCGCGTACTGACGACTCGTAGGGAGCATCGGCAGGGGCGTGATTCACGTCCTGGGTCGTTGTTTAAAATCAGAAAACGTCACATTATTGCGTTTTGGGCTCCTTAAAAAGCGCGCAAAAATAGTTTTCGGATTTCATTCTTAAGTCAGACCCCGGAGGCAGTTTGTGTGTGCGGGTTCAGCTCTGGAACCCGTCAATGGAGCTCTCTGGGACTCTGTGTGCTGTGAAAGGGCAATGGCCCAAACCGTCGCCCGTTACGCCCACGGTGGGGGGGGGGGGGCCGGATCCTGCAGATTTACGGAGCCGCATGGGGAACCGGATCCTTCTCACCCGCTAGGGGAACCGGATCCTCGCAGCCGCCATTTCGCTATCGCCTGGGCCTCGCCGCCGCTGCCGTCTTCGCGATGCTGTCCAACGCGCAGCTCTTGGATGAGCTAATGGGGCGAGACAGAAACCTCGCCCCCAACGAGAAGCGCTGCGATGTCCACTGGGACGACGAGAGGGTGAGGAGCAATGCGGCGCTTGAGATTCCCGCGTGTTTGTTCGCTGCTGCTGCTGCACGCGTGCGGCGGTGGCCAGGCCTGGGCCAGGCCTCGCCCCGCCGCCGAGGGAGCTCGCGGAGAGAGGTCGGCGTGGTCCTCGCGCCCCGCTGCGGAGTCGCTCCTGGCGGACGCGCCGTGTCTCCTGCGCGTGGTAGAGCCGTGGCGGCGGGGTGGTTGTTGGTGTCGAGCGGCTGGGGGGCGCCTCGAGTCGCCACGCGGCTTCGCGTGGCGAAGTGCCGAGGAGCTCCCGAGCTGCGCGTCGGCGGCTGTGACGCTTCCATCAGTGGGGAATGTGACGCCAAACGGCACCATTAGCGGGTATACTCAGGGTCGATGCGGTTTTTTTTTTATTGAGCAAAGTTTTAATAGCTCGGGGAACAGGCGATTAGCATGGAATCCAAAGAGTGTAGCGGTGCGAGGGAAGAGACAGAAGAAAGGTGCGTTGCGGCAGTTTAGTGGTTCAACCACTGGATGACGAAACGGGTAGACCGAGTAGTCCTCAACATTTGGCGTGGAATCGTTGACGTTTGCGAGAACAGTTACCATGGTAGTAGCGATAGAAGAGATGAGGTACACTGGGAAATATGTTAATATACTATGGTCGTCTGTGAACGTGTGCGCACGTATTAAAAGTAAATATGTATATAACATGGAATTTGTATGACTGCGCGTGCCTGTAAACTTGCAAGGCATGCGTATACTGTGAAAGTATTCATGTATGTAAGCTTATACGTGTTGTCAATGTAACGATTCAATGATGTCGATTATCTAGCTTCATAGTGCCTTCAATATGTCAAAGTTTTTCGTTGTGTGTCCTCATCTATTGGGATGGGTTTACGTGACTCGCAACATTCACAATCCTAAATGGTCATTTTTGCAGATAACCAAATAAACTCCAAACTGTAACCCTTCTATTTTGGCAGACACAACATCTAAAATAGTTTTTTTCCCGATGTTCATGATTTGGCGTTACTTCCAAGTCTGCACCATCAAAATCGTCAGACAACAACTGGACTAGCGGCCTGGCTTCAAAATGAGCATTGGATGTTTTTTCACCTTGTTCAAGTGACCCACAATTAAAAATGTAGGGTTTTTTTTATATTGCACTAGCTGTACTACCCGGCTTCGCCCGGGACTTGTATCCACCACGCCCGGCCGCCTTTGTCTCCCCAGTGGCGATGTTAATACGCCACACCAGTTACTCGTTTTGAGGCTGAGTCCCTCCCTCAGCACTCTCCCTCCCACACCACTCTCCCTCCCTCAGCACTCTCCCTCCCTCACCACCCTCCCTCCCTCACCACTCTCCCTCCCTCAGCACTCTCCCTCCCTCACCATTCTCCCTCCCTCAGCACTCTCCCTCCCTCACCACTCTCCCTCCCTCACCACTCTCCCTCCCTCACCACTCTCCCTCCCTCACCACTCTCCCTCCCTCAGCACTCTCCCTCCCTCAGCACTCTCCCTCCCTCACCACTCTCCCTCCCTCACCACTCTCCCTCCCTCACCACTCTCCCTCCCTCACCTATCTCCCTCCCTCACCACTCTCCCTCCCTCACCACTCTCCCTCCCTCACCGTTCTCCCTCCCTCACCACTCTGTAGAGGACGTGAAACTTTGATGAATTTACCTCAGAGTCGCGTGGTGGGTGTCGAGGCCTAGCACCGTGCAGAGCCTCCGGCCTCGCCTGATTTTCCCACCCGGCTGAGGCTGGGTACGGGTGCCGTTCCCCCCCCCCCCCCCCCGCGCTACAATAATACTGTCTAATCGCTATAATTTTATAATCTACCGACCCTATAATAGTAATTGCACACATTGTGGTGGGGGGGGAGTGAAGAGGACGTGAAACTTTGATGAATTTACCTCAGAGTCGCGTGTTAATGCGTGCGCCTATTTTTAATGGTAATTAAAAATGGCGTCCACCCCGCGGCGAAGGCATCGCTACCCGTTGCCAGGGGCAACCGCCGTACAATTAAAGCGGCGAAGGCGTCGCTGCCCATTGCCAGGGGCAACCGCCGTCCATTGAAACTGCGTATGGTCCGGCGACACACACACACAGACAAACAGATTCGCGATTTTATATATATAGATAATCAGATGCAGCTAATGAAATTTGATGTGTGAATAAAAGTGGGTTGCTTGAATGAACAAATTCAATATATGAAAAGGACGTTTGCCCTCGTAGCGAGGCGCGACCGTTCATGATTTAAAAAAGGGGGATATGAGTATTATTAAAAAAAAGTAAAAAACACGAATGATGCCACGATTGGAATCTGGACCGGTTTTTGAATGAAATCGTGAATTGTCACGTAAGATGAGTAGAAAATTTCAGATCGTTAGGCTTCGTAGATCCGAAGATATTAAGCGTGAAACATGTCAAGTTAAATAAAAGTCTAACATCAAGTTCGAACTTGTAATTTAACATTATCTCTGTCGATCCCTAGCTGGATTGAAAGTCTCCTTCCCCGTGTACGTCATGTAGGTTATTCGATCATGATTAATTGTGTTGGTCACTGCAGTGGTAAAAAGGTGGCAGCCCTAACCCGGTCCAAATCTCATTCGCCCACTGCTCTTAGCCATAGCCGGGAATCGAGCTGCGGTGTGCTATTAAAGCAGCTTAAACTCTCCACCAGCTCTCCCACACCAATAGTGGGGGGCAATTACAAATGTTTCATACCACCGTATACAGGATTAGAACACATGTGCGCAGATCAGGGTATCGCGCACATTTGCGTGATGTCACCTACATCCCGCTGTTGGTCAGGGTTTGTGCATGGTGACGTTACGCATATCCCCCACTTACCCTCCACCTAGGCCTCGGCAAGGTAAGGTAAAAATTAAAAGGTAAAAACAACGAGCCTACCTTTACCCTACCTTTTACATTACCACAATACAATCACTCTACCCTTACCTTTTACCCTTTAGCAGGTAAGATAGCAGGTAAAAAGCAATGAGCCTACCTTTACCCTACCTTTTACCCTTACCCCATACAAATTACCCGATTACAGGGTACTTACTGGGGTACTACACATGACAAAGGTTTAAAACGGTAAATGCTAGGTAGAGCGCTTTATTCATATAGAATACTCTCCATGATTCCAATTTTACACGCTTGTCATTGTCGTATCCTCAAATCTTGTAACTAAATTTTAACCCACTTCCCAATGTGGTATCGACTGCAAACTTGGTATACTTATGTCATACTGATGACAACACTATATTCTATCATTAAAAAAATATATTTTTAAACAATCTTTTTTATATGTTATGTTTCGGCTTGGCTCTAATTGTCCACGCTCAACTGACGTTGGCTGTAATTGGCCACGGCCCCTTCATGGCAAGCTTCGGGGCCACTTCCTGGAGTCGTGGAGTTTTGCATTACTCGTACATTTCATAAAAGCGTGTTTTAAAAAAAGTTTTTTGTTTAATATTACTTATTAAATGGAGGCCACGGACTGCGCCACGGAGCTTTTAGCGGTAAACAAGGCACCGTATTTACCGGGTAATACTTCGCGCTTCCTTTACCCTACCGGGTAATTCTTCCGAGCTACCATTATCCTACCCTTTACCTTACCCCTTGGCATGTCGACATCTTTACCTTTTAGCCGGTAAAAAGGGTAAATTACCTTACCTTGCCGAGGCCTACCTCCACCCTGGCCGTATATGAACCTTATGGCGGGACCCCGGGGTCCCATAAGCCCCCGGCTCTCGCATAAACTGCGTTGCGACGTCATTTTATGTCTGTTGAAGGCGAACGATACGGCAATCTATTCCTCTCGACGAGCTCAACACGATGCGCTAATCAAAGTTTCAAAGTTATGTTTCTTTCTGCGCATTCGTCCTCGCTGCGCTTGGACGACTTGACAACAGAATGATCCGCACCAGGTGGGTTGCGGCGTTTATGTTTGCGGTGGGACGGAGTCGCCATTAAATAATTACGATTTTGACTACCATTTATTCTGGAGCCCGGGGTCACGCCATAAGGTTCATATGTTGCACACATGCGCTACTAGGCCTAGTACAGTTTAATATAGACACTCTTACTAGCTATCGATACCCTGTTCCTGATGGAAATCCAGGCTCATAATGATCTTTTCTCATTTGCCAATGACTGCCTTATGGTACCATTGTTTTTTACAGTCTTCAGATATGGTTGCGTTTAGACACCCATGTTTATTGTAATTGTTACACTTGGATTGTTTTCAGGTTTGCAAGCACTATCTGGTTGAGTACTGCCCAGCAGAGCTCTTCGTGAACACTCGAGCTGATTTAGGTAAGTTCAAGAGTTGAAACCTACCTTGCAGGGAGATGAAATGCACTCAACCCGGTGGTTTCCAGATAAAATGAGATGTTGATGTTTTATTTTAAAAATAAATTGCAAAATTACGTGGAAAGAATATTTAAACTGTCTCATCGGTGAACCTTCTTGATCAATGTAACCCATTATTGTTTGTTTAAACAAGGTAAAACCTGAACCCATTTGGTGCTCTCTTTGTTTTGTAAAATAACACTTGAATAATCCTTTGGATCATGATCATATCTGGCTGAGTACTGCTTTGTGGGAAGTCAAGATTTGCTCATCCTGTGGAGGTAGTTGTCTCCACTGTTTGACTGTGTTCAATTGCTGCTACAGGGTTTCCATTTGAATTTAGGACAGCACAATTGTTTAGAGTCGAGAGATATTTAGATATTTTTTACATATGAAAGTCACCACATTGAAGCTTTCCAAATCCTTGCTGTGAATGTAAATTTACCTGATAAGTGCTACCCAAATGCTCAGCTGAGCATGGATATACTTCATCTTCATTTAAAGGCTGTTAAAAACGAATATTGCAATGTTTAAAAAGTACGAATATTGCACTGTTTAAAAAGTTATAAGTCTGATGCTGTGAAATGTCACATGTGCAATACCGGTGTTTGTAATAGTTGTTATGCTTGTGTTGCAGGTCCATGTGACAAAATCCATGATGAGAATCTAAAAAAATTGTGAGTTTCGCATGCACACATGCTATTCTACCAACAACATATTGCTGTTTTTGCGGTGTGTTGATGGATCCATGGCCAGCACTAGTATTGGCAGCCTTCGCTTGGAAAGTGGGTCAGCGAGCATCACATTGGGCAACATAAACTGGCAAAATATAGAATGCATGGATTTATATATCGCAGTTCTTCTGTGTATCAAATTTTAGGCTTAGAAAGTGTCAATTTATAGTTTCGTGCTTTAAATATTAATGTTTGCAGCCAAAGTTGCACAGTATATATTAATAAGTATAATGTTAAAATGTTCCCACTTTTGTGTGATGACATGCATAATCATCAAAACGTGAAGAAATATGTACCAAGTTTTAATTTATCAGGAATATTTGGCATTGCACATCTCCATTATCCTTCCAGTCACTGATTGAAATTCCATGTTGTTGTGGCACTCATCTCTATCCTTAAGTTACATCCATTGTTGACTTCCCACAATGTAACTTCCCTCCGTCATCTTACCTGCTTCAGCAGAATGTTTGTTTACCCCAGCTGAGTTTTTAATGTGTCATTCTTGGATCTTTACTGCTAGTTCAACTGATCTATACATCCCTGACTTCATAAGAGTGTGACAGATGTATATGGCCAGGCAGTACATCCAACTCAATCCTGGTCATGAGTGAGTTCATTATCTTTAGCCTGGAGTCAATAGAGCAATGACCATTTAGTGTAATGTCATTTGAGTGAAAATGATGACATGCCTGATAATGATAATTAAGTTGATACTATTGCCTTCTATAAGAGTGGAAAAGGAGCAAAAGCCTTCGACCAGATTTTGGGATTCAAAAGCAAAATAAAAGAATATGCCAGAACAAATGTAGTCGGCATGCATTGACATGTGCAGTTGTGTGTGCGTGATTTTGCACATACACTGAGCAGTCATTGCTTATGCACTGTTACATTCATGAAGACTTGTTTTTTTTCTAGCCACGTAGTATCTGAACCTTTCCTTGGCTTAACCATAGGTTCTCAGCTTTAAATAGACGTGCAAATAGCAAATGGGAGACATGTGGTTAGACACAGTGCTAGCCACACCATTCACCTTGTGCGCAATGTTCATATGAACATCACTTTATTCTTTTGGTCTACGAGGTTAAGAGGGGAATGCATGTGTTGTGTGTGCATACAGGTACGAGAAGAGCTCTCGCTTCATGCGCATGGGCTATGAGCAGGACTTCCTGCGCTACCTGCAAAGCATCATGGCCGACGTGGAGCGCCGCATACGAAGGGGTCACGCGCGGCTGGCACTTGCGCAGACCGGGGGGCCGATGGTTAGCAATGTAAGGGGCTGCTCCCTCACACACACACATACTACAGACAGCAAACACAGCCAGATGTGCACATACACACATTACAAATAAGCACTGAACACCCCTGCCATGTGGCTCGGCGATAGATCCAGCAGATTTCAATCCGGAGGTTGAGAGTTCAAATGCTTTTGTTCTGGTAGTCCCTTAGCCATTGGGGAAACTCCTCATTCCAAGTAAACTACTATTTTCTTCTTACAAATGTGAAAACTCATTATAATATCCACAGAGTGTTTATGGGTTTTATTAGCTCAAGTAAAAATACCTACCTTAACTTACCAAGCATTGAATTACCAAAGAGCTATCAATTTCTGTTAAAACAATATATGGGGCTGCAGTGTTTGTTGGCAGTGGGGCACAAGCACAACAAATATTCACGATTTTTTTTTAAGGCAGTATTATTGATGAACGTTCAGCATTATGTTAATTTATAACCTGTGTGCGAAAAAGTTTTTGTTAGTGGGATCTTACAGACTCGGGTTGACTTCTCATGATGACTTTTGTTAATGGGTTGCTAGATTGTAAACTGGTATCTGTTTGTGGTGGCAGGTTTAACGACGCATTTATATTTACGTGATCTCACCCTAAATATCTTTATTATGTATTTTCTCTTGCGGGTTACCGGTCACGGACAAAACGATTTTAACAACCTTACATGTTTCTTATCTCAGCCCGGAGGAGCCTCCATGACCAAGAATGACGAGAAGATCAAAGTCCTGACGGAGCGCATTGAGGAGCTGCTGGACGACGTAAGCTGCAACGTAGCAGTATTGTCGCTCTACGTTTTGCTTTGTGTTTACAGTTTAACGTCAAATGGGACAGTTGCATGTGGCAATTGATTTAACTGTCAGATATGCACATTTGAAAGTGACAATTAATTTGCCTCTGCCGAGTAAAGTTGAAGGGTGACAATGTGATAAACAGTTGACTGTGACGGCTAATTGACCTGTGTGAGCTATGTGGTTCATGTAACAGTAAAACGGTGAGGTAGACAGCTGTACTTGGCATGGTTATTTTAAGTGTGATACATATTTGACCTTGGCATGCTCGATTCAGCTGCTGCATACATTTATAAATTACTGTGTGATGTGCACGTTAGGCGGAGGGTTGCGACATTTAGAAATAACGCGATCTAACCCAAAAACCTTTATTATGAATAATATTGGTCACCAAAGCCTACGTGTTAAACTGATACATATTTACAGTCTGTTCTATAATACCACGTGTTTTCATAATAAAAATTGAATAAAACGCGATTGAGTGAACAGAACTACGCCTCGAAAATAGGAACCAGCAGTTGTACGGCTGCCTCGGTGTAGCATCACTCAAGGCATTCGGATGCTGCTGGATGCTTCTAGATGGTAGCCACGCGTCTCAACCTTTGTTCAGCCTGAATACACACCTCGCGTGTTATCGCGGATTGTCCTTTACCCTATATTATTTATTACAACACAATCATTCAATAACAGTGTTTTTCAGGAACACAACTATTGTGTTATAGCAGAACAGACTACATACATTGAACATTTTCTTTATCTAGATAATATGTACATTTAATTGCTCTATGGCAATAAATTGTATGAAGAAGGATAAATGGGGCCATGTAACATGACCGGGAAAACAGTTTGGCCGACAGTTTTGAAACGCACCGATTAAGGACCTTTAACGCAATGACAAATAGCCGCAAATACCTAATTCTAGGAACTCAACGACTGACAAATGCCTCTTCCTCCAACTTGTGTCTGTGGTGTTTACAGATAGAGCAGATGGGCTGTGAGGGACGCGTGGAGGAGGCCCAGGGCATGATGAAACTTGTGGAGCAAATCAAGGATGAGCGTGACCAACTACGTGCCACCGCCTCTGTGAGTGACCCTCTTGCCTTCAGGCCCAGACTCCCTTCCTGGCGAGGCCCTTTGCCAGCCTGGAGGGAGGTGGAAAACCCTCTGGCAGTCAGACTAGGCCTAGGAATGGGCCAGTTTTCATTGTACAATCAGTGCCACGGTATGTGTCCCCGAAGGTTGTGAGCCATGATCCTTCATAGGGTTGGCCCATCTCAAATATAGAGCTAATGCTACAGGTTACCTGTTGAGTTTAAGTGTTCTTCACACATATTCACGAATTTTGGCCTGCCAATCCGCAACAAATGTCCACTTTAGGACCCTGCCTACATGAGTCGTTGAGGCTCGCAGAAGCGTTCGGAGCTGATGGGCACACTTGGGTTTGGTTTCCACACAGACGATCGAGACATTTGCGGCGCAGGAGAAGCAGATGGAGGTGTGCGAGGTGTGCGGCGCATTCCTCATCGTGGGCGACCCACAGTCGCGTATCGACGACCACCTCATGGGCAAGCAACACATGGGCTATGCCAAGATCAAAAGCACTATCGAGGAGATGCGGGTATGCAGCCCTTTCTTGTTTGCACCCTACAAAACAAATATGCCAATGCAGACATAACTCAAATGGTTGTACACAACACAAAGGGCGATAAAAACATCTCTCCATAGTTTGTATGCCATATGTTTTGTAAACAAATGCACCATATGTTCTGTTAAATTTGTTCTAACATTGGGGGGGAGATTTATTTTTAGAGTTGATGATTCATCAATTAAGTCTGTTCATTGACTGAAATATATATCGACTCCTTTTTTTATGGTCTATTATTGGGGCCCCTTTATGAACGACATCCACCCCCACATTTTGAGCAGCAGGTTGGCACAGTGGTAACGTGTGCATTGCAAGAAGAACCTGGGTTTGATTCCGAATTCAGGGTCCGTTGTGTGCTTGTCAGTTTATGTTCTCACTGTTCTTTGGGTTTGCTTCAGGGTCTTGAGTTTCCCCTCTAAAACACACAATGTAACTGGTGTTGGCCAAACATCCCAATGCTAAAGGATTACCTGCAAAGTACTCAATTGGGAGTACGTATAGCAACACTCCCTACTGCGAAAACTTGAAGGATGTTGAGAATTGGTGAAGCTTTCCTGGATAAACAAGCATAAATCAGTTGTGCGTTAGCATGAGCCAATGTATCACACCTGTATGGACACACTCGCACGCTTCTCTCCTAAATGCAGGAGAAGCTCCGCAAGAAGTATGAAGAGCCAGAGAAGGAGCGCGAGGAGAAGCTGAAAAAGGAGCGTGAGGAGCGCGAGAAAGAGCGTGAGAAGGAACGCGAGAAGGAGCGCGAGAAGGAGCGCGAGGAGAAGGAGAAGCGGGAGAAGGAACGTGAGGAGAGGGAGAAGCGGAGGCGCGAGGAGGAGGAGAAGAAGGAGAAGGAGCGTGAGAAGGAGCGCGAGGTGAGACATGGTGGCTGGGGACATGGTGGTCAGGTCGTTTTGGAGGCTCGAAATGGCCTTGTCTGAGCACTGAACCAACACCACAGATATCCTGAGGGTTTGCAATGGTAATTATCTGATTGGTATCATCTGGTCATCAATGACTGCACAATTGACCATCCTGTTAAACTTGTTTTTCTGCTGAAGTTACCTTGTTTCAGGTCCTGTGGACTAAATATTTAGTTTATTTCCACGTGACAAACACTTTCCTCAGGTCATGTGTGGGCACTACATAGTGGTTAATAAGAAGCTATTTAAGGGACATGACCATCTGTCCCTCCCAGCTGAATAAAATTAACCCTATCCACCTTTTTCTTGCCTAATCGGTGCTGTATATCCAAATATATCCCAATGTCTCACTTTGTCACTTGTTTCTCTATTCCTCTGTCCCCTATTACTCTCCCTCTGTATTCTTCTCCCTTCACTGTATCTCACCTACTTCCCTCCCCCTATCTCTCTCCCTGTTTCTCTCACCCTTTTTTTCTCATTATTCCTACCACTCCCATTCCCATCTAAATATATCTTCTCCCTAATAATCCCACTGTCGCTTTCCCTCGCTCTACTTTTTTACATATTACTCTTCCATTTTTGTTTCACACCCTTTGACTCTCTCCCTTCCCCTCTCTCCATTCCTCTCGGTATCTTCTGGACATCTTTGAAAATACTGGATATCTGTGAAAAAGAGCTTTATAACCCATTGGATTTCTCCAGTATAAATACATATTCTGATTCTTCCTTCTATATCCCTCCCTTCTCTATCTTCCTCCCTCACATCCCTCTTATCTCCATCCCTCACTTCTCTCTCTCTGTCCTTTTTCGCATTTGCATGGTATACATGGCCTTGGTGGAAGGTGGGTTGGGGAGGAGGCCTGATGTCAGTGCATATGACTGGACCCATCACTGTGGGATGTGGGTGACATCATGCGGATGTGCGCGGTGATATCACCACCGCATGCGCATTTGGTCATGTGCGAGCCAGAAATTCAGGCAGGAACCTAGCCAGCAAAACTTTTTTCTAATATAGTATTAAAAGTTGGAAATAATGAACCATGTTAGAAAAAGTTTTATGTCTGAATCCATAGTTGGATTCATCGCGTGCCCAAGTATTTGCACGATGGTGATGTCACCGTGCTCATCTGCATGGTGATGTCGCGCACATCCCACACGGTTGAGCCGGGTTCCTGCATGCTGACATCACGCTAACCTCACCCACCTTCCACCACCCCAGATGTGTATCCCGTGCACATACCAGAGAGGAGAGAGGGAGGTGAAAGAGGGAGGTGAGAGAGGTAGTCAGAGGGAGAGATGGAAAGGAGGTACAGGCAGAGGGTGAAAGGGTGGGAAACAGAGGAAAGATGAGAGCGAGGAAATGCGACAGTGGGAGGATTGGGAAGAGGCAAGTGAGATTGAAACGGGAAAGGGAGAGGTGGGAATGAGGAGAGTGAGAGGTGAGAGAAACAGGGAGAGAGATGGGGTGGGGGGGTTCAATTGGATGAGATAGAGTCGAGGGACGATAAGAATAAAGAGGGAGGGAGAGCTAGAAGTGGGAAAATGGGAATAGAGAAACGGACAAAGCGAGAAATCGAGATAAATTTGGATATACATTGTAGAGAAGGTAAGAGAAAGGTAGAGAGAGATGGTCAGATAAAAGTTTTGCTGGATGGGAGAGATGGAGAGTCACATCCAAAGGAAGTTACAGTTCCTACTTGTTAATATAAATAAAATACATTGTTATGAAGATAAAGAACACCTTAGATTTTAACGTTTTTTTTCGTAAACCTTTATTTTTGTAAGGTGCTTGATTTTGTGTTCCATGTCCCCTAAGCTGGTTGCAAATTCTTACCTAGTTCGCCTGCTTAATTGACATATGCATTGAGTTTTTTTTTGTTATTTGTGTTTTTTACAACACTGCCAGTGCAGTATCGCCAAATAATCTGTTGCATTTAGGGGAGCGTCATGGACCGGGCTGCCCAGACATGAAGGGAGGCTGGAGATTTGTTTGCCAGTGTCGTTTTCATGTGCTTTGACCGTAATGGTTCAATAATGTGTATCTGTGTTGCAAAGCGGCGTTAACAAAGCTGCCGAGTGGAACCTAGGCTTCCGTGCAGCATGTTTGAAGAGCGTTCTTCACGGCTCGCGTGCTGCTCTCGTCACGTTCCTCATCTTTCGCTCGTGTCGTCCGCCACAACACCGCCTCCATTGCAGAGGGACAAGGACCGGCGGCGGCGGAGTCGGTCGCGGGGCCGCCGCAGCCGCTCGCGTGACAAGCGATCTGCACGCTCCGGGGAAAATCGGCGTTCACGCAGCCGCGACCGCGACCGCCGGCGCAGCAGGTGACGACCGCTGCTCTTCATTCACATAGACTGACTCGAAATAGAAAGATCATTCAGATGAACAAGACTGATTGAGACAAGATGAAACCAAATCTTGCATTTACCTGGAGAAGATTGAGAACAATCATAAGTTTCTCGGTTTTTGTTTGCCCCCCCAAAATGTTGGTGCAGGCAATGTGTTCATTTAGAACTTTTTAATGGCTAACTCGAAATGGATAAAATAAACAAAAATCTGAAAATCATAATCTTAGGTTGTGTGACCTGTAACGTTTCTGAAAATAAATACGCGTTTTGGTTTTATTCACTAAAAGTTTGTTTCAGGAGGTGCTGATCCCAATTATAAAATCTGAATTTGTTTGGTTAATTTATAAAAAAAAGTTTGCTAAATTCAAGATAATTTTCAAGGTCACTATCGGTGACTCGTACATACGGGCGTGTTTTAAGTCTAATATAAGTGTGTATGTTTAAATTATTTTGCGCCATACATAGCCAACCATGCTAATTGGAGGTATGGGGGGGGAAGGACAACAAACGGAGCACAAAAAGCAGTTTTAGATTTAAAAGTGCATGGCTCCAGTGGCTTTATAATATCGGAAGGAAGAGCGTTCCAGACGGCCACAGAAGCGCATCTGAAAACGCGCGATACAGTGACCGTCTCTGTTCGATGGCTCGCCAAAAGTCTGATTTGGGTAATGTGTTTCTAGCTAGAACATCCCCTCGTGCAGTACTCATCTTAATAGGTGCTAACGAACAACACGCAGCCTGTACACTAAACAGGGGAACGTGTGTGTGATTGTGTGCGTGCACGTCCTGCAGGAGCAAGGACCGGCGGAGCAGCCGCAATGATGACAAGAAGCGCTCGCGTAGCCGTGACCGCAAGCGGCGCTCGCGTAGCCGGGAACGGTCATCGCGCGACGTCGACTTGCGCAGCAAGGACAAGGATCGCGAGCACAGCAGCAGGGAAAAAGATCACGAGCGCAGCAGGGACAAGGAGCGCAGCAGCAAGGACAAGGAGCGCAGCAGCAGGGACAAGGAGCGCAGCAGCAGGGACAAGGAGCGCAGCAGCAGGGACAAGGAGCGCAGCAGCAGGGACAAGGAGCGCAGCAGCAGGGACAAGGAGCGCAGCAGCAGGGAAGAAGATCACGGGAGCAAGGACAAGGATCGTGATCGCAGCAGCAGGGAGGAGGAACACGAGCACAGTAGGGAGCGAGGCAGTGGCAGCGAGAGGGGCAAGGATGGCAGCAGTAAGGAGCACAGTAGTAAGGAGGGCAGTGTCAAGGAGGAGAGTGCCAGCATGAAGGAAGGCGGTGGCGGCAGCAGCATCAAAGAGGAGGAGAGCAAAGAGAGCGAGCCGGAGCAACAGAAGGGGAGTGAGAACCTGCTGACAGAAGAACCCACGGAGAAAGAAAAGGAGGAGAGCTCCAAGGATAAAGGTGCTTTTACATTCGCTTATCATAAGTGGCATGAATGCCGGGTGCCAAACTTGGTTATAGGTGAATAGTGCCTGGTACTTGGTCTACCCCTTGTCATCCCTGCCAGTGGAGATGAGCACTCCCATATTGCTGAATGAGGGAGGCAATGAGACTGGACTACACCTTCAGAATTATATTATGGAGACAGAAGCACTCATTTGTTGTAAATTACACTCCTTGCTCTTAATAAGCATATGGAACCAATTATCAGGAAATTCCTAATTCCCTTATTGGTGGCCGTAACCCCCATGGAAAGTTTACTGTTGACTTCCAACAAAGTGATATTAATTTGAATCACCTCATATGGGTGATGGGCTCAATTGAACAACCCCCATTCGTTTATTTGAGCTCACAAGTTTCCACTTCTGCATCGCCAAATAGTTATTGTATACACTCGTGGACTATGTTATGGTGATACTTGTGTAATACTCTTCAAGACGCGTGGACAACGTGGTAAGGCACACGTATTTATTTGCACAATGTCTTACAGCACTGGAGGGATGTATCGGCCCCCTCACCCGTACAACTGGGAATTCACCCCTAGCTAGCCTTCCTAGCCGAGTCCTCCGCTAACGGGCTAGGGGAGGCTATCTGGCCCGACACTGGTTAGTCGGGCTACGGTACCCGGAATCCCAGAGATCTAACTCTGGTTCCGGGACCACGCCACTGGCTCCAGCCTGCGCTGCCCTTACAAGGGCGGCGTCCCAGGGGGAGTCCAGGGCCTATCTGGCCGGTCTTCTGTCTTCCCTTAACTACCCTAAGACTGAGCCCCGAGCTCTCTGGCTCATCCCTTTTTATACCCCCCTAGAGGATCGAAACCCCCCTCACGCCGTCCAGTGCGGACGTCGTTGCGGGCACCACCCCGTGTGCTCACGGAGTCCCCGCCCACTGTGTTTGTTATCCGTTAGCCCCTATGCAAACAGCCCCACACAAACAGCCCCTCTGTAACAGCCCTACATCACCCCCCCCTGTACAGCTCGCAGCCGTCCCGGCTGCAACAACTTTCAATAAAGGTTATTTAACCCCTGGATCCCCGCGTGTGCCTTAAAAAAAACGTTTTTAACGCTAACATGAAGGAACCAACAGTAACAACGACAACAACAACAACAATGACAACAACAAAACCCACAACCCCGAAGGGAACAATCCGACGCACCCCCCCTGAATAAATACGAATACCGTAAGAGCGACGTATATATACAGGTTTTGCAGGGAACTCCCAGCACGCATGCAACACAACAAGAAAAATGTGGTAGGAGTTCCCCACCGACGCAACACCCCGCAACCGTACGTAAGGGAGAAGAAGAAAAAAAATGTTCGTCCAATGCATTATAAGAGTCTGCGCATTTTTGCGCGCGTCCTTGCTGCAGGCCCGTCACACGGGGCAATCCCGGGTGGCGAACCCGCCGGTGGCGGTTGTTCGCCTTGTATAGAGTCCGCGTCTGACGTCGCGAGACCCTCGGCGTCCCTCGCAGCAGTAGGTGGGTGCGAGCTCGTCAGTCCCGGTGCACCTGTGGGTGGGACAGCCGGCGACACGTCAGGCGAGGGCAGTGAGGACGGACCACCTGAGTCGGCCGACCCCCCACATGTTTGGCCATGCGTGTGTGGAGCGGGGCCTCGCACCGCAACGAATGGTTTTAGCCTCGAGGGGTGCACAAACCACCGGCGCTTCCCCCATTTGATGCGAACACACTGAGGCCGCAGAACCTCGACCACCTCCACGGGCCCCCTCCACGGCCGCGCCAGTTTAGGGGATGTTGCGAGCGGTACCTGGGGGCAGTGCAGCCATGCTCTGTCCCCCGGCTTCCACTGCAGCACGTGCGCGCGACCCAGTCTAAGGCGCTCGTTAGCTTTTTGACGCTGCTCCGAATTTAACATGGCAGCATCCCGTGCCTCCGTCAATTTTTCAAGGTTAAATTTGACATGGTCAATTAATTTAGTTTTTCCTAGTGGTGTGGGGATCTGCAGCTGCGCCCGAATGGGTGGGTCAGGGTCGCGTCCGTACATGAGGAAGAATGGCGAAAATCCCGTTGCAGCATGGGGGGCCAATCGGTATGCTGCCAAGACCCCTTGGATTTTCAAGTCCCAATCCGTCTGTGAGTCCGAAACCTGCTGTGATAACATAGACGAGATGGTGCGATGCAGACGCTCGACCATCCCGTCAGTTTGCGGGTGATAGGGGGAAGTACGAATCTTTTTCGTTCCCAGGAGCTCACAAACCTGCTGGAGGAGTTTCCCGGAAAAATTTCTACCCTGGTCGGTCAGCAGCCGTTCCGGGGCACCTTTGTCCATGACATAGCCTTGGACAAAGGCGTCGACGATGGCTGCTGCCGACTGATTGGCCAGGGGCCAGGCCATAGGCCAGCGCGTAAAATACTCGACCCCGGTTAACAAGTATCTGTTTCCCCTAGGGGTGGCGGGGAATGGGCCCAGAATATCCAGCGCGACCAGTTCGTTTACTCTGGAGACCCTGATAGACTGCAAGGGCGGGTTAGATTCTCGCGCTGGTGGTTTCCGCTGTGCACACCTCGGGCATGAAGCCAACAGATCAGGGACATCCCTTGTCATTCCTTGCCAAAAGAAATCACGTTGGAGCAAGGCGAGGGTCTTTTGGGTACCCAGGTGGAGGAGGCGCTCATGAGCAGCCCACACCACCCTACCCCGTAAGCCCGAAGGGACCACCAGCCGGTGTCGGTGGGATTTCCCGTCCCAGTGCAACAGCAACCCCGCGTGTATTTCCCATGCGTCGGCATCACCCGATCCCCGCCCTGCCTCCCCGGCGCGACGACGCAACGCGAGGAGGGAGGTATCCTCCATCTGGAGGCGCCCCCATTCCTGGATGTGCAAACCCAACAGGGAATCTTTCCCTTGTTGTTCAATGGAACTCAGAACAACTGTCCCGCCGTCGGCGGCAGCCGCAAGGGCCGGAACCGACCCGTCCCCTGCTGGTTTGCAACGTCCCGACCCCAGGAGGCACGCGCATTCCGAGGTGGTTGGCATACGCGACAGAGCGTCCGCGTTGGTGTGGCGGACGCCCTTACGGTATGTGGTGGCAAAATTAAAATCCTGGAGGATCTCCAACCAACGGGACAATTGTCCCGATGGCTGTTGAACTCGCAGGGCGTACTGCAGTGCCGCATGATCTGTGCGGACGGTGAAACGCCGACCGTACAGATATGGGCGATACTGTTGGATGAAATAGACAATTGCCAACAGTTCTCTGCGGGTAACACAATATCTTTGCTCTGCTTGAGACAACACCCGACTGCCGTACGCAACCACCCGTTCGACGCCGTCAACCACCTGGGAAAGCACGCCCCCAATACCCGTGTTGCTCGCATTGGTGTCGAGCAGGAACGGCTTTGAAAAATCAGGGTAGATCAAGGGAGGAGCTTTTACCAAGGCGTCCCGAAGGGAGCAAAAAGCAGCCTCCTCCTCTTGACCCCAGTGGAACCGGACCCCCTTAGATGTTAATGCGTGTAGGGGTTTTGCAATTGTTGCAAAGTCGGCGACGAACCGTCTGTAATATGACGCGAAGCCGACGAAACTCCTAACCTCTCCCACCGTGGTGGGAGTTGGCCAGGAGCTGACACACTGCGTTTTGGCGGGATCGGTAGCAATACCCGAGCGCCCTACGATGTGCCCCAAATAACGCACGGAATCGCGTAACAAATTACACTTTTGGGGTTTGAACTTCAAATTAGCAGCCCGCATCTTTAGGAAAACCGCCCGCAACCTCTGGAGATGTTCGTCAAAAGTTTTAGCGAAGACAATAACATCATCCAAATAAATCAGGCACGACTCCCATTGCAATCCAGCCAAAACCAATTCCATCAAACGTTGGAAGGTTGCCGGCGCTGAGTGTAAGCCCATCGGCAACCGGTTGAATTGGAACAGGCCGTGCGGTGTACGGAAAGCAGTTTTAGGTTTCGATTCATCATCCAGAGGAAGCTGCCAGAATCCCGAAAGTAAATCCAGCGTGGAGAAGAATCGCGCTCCCGCCAAGGCGTCCAGCGATTCGTCCATCCGTGGGAGCGGGTATGCGTCGGCAACCGAAATTTTGTTAAGGCGCCGAAAATCAACGCAAAACCGCAACGAGCCGTCCTGCTTTTTAACCAGGACGATCGGCGCTCCCCAAGGGCTGGTAGAGGGAGAAATAATGTCGGCGGCTAACATGTCATCAACAGCCAATTTGACATGGTCCTTTTCGGCGGGACTCAACCGAAACGGATTTTGGCGAATTGGCGCGCTGTCACCCGTGTCAATATGGTGACGCAGCAGATGAGTACAACCCAAATCGTATTTATTCCGACTGAAAACGTCGGAAAATTCCTGCAGTAGCGATCTAAGCTGTTGGCGCTCTGAATTTGACAGGTCCGTCGATCCCGCACAAAGCGCGTCGAGCCACCCGTCATCGCTGTCCGAATGTGGGTGCAGTCGGGTGTCGGTGCCGACGTGATTCGCAACCGGTTCCTCGCAGGGCATTGGTGTCGCGTGCGCAAGCACCGTCCCTCGAGGAACCACAACAGGTTGCGATCCCACATTGAGGACCGCGATGAAAGGGTCCCCATCTCCCCTCACAACGGTCAGGGCCGGGATCAACTGCGGTCCACTAACCCCGGCCCTAGACGGTCCCAACAAGATCCCGTGGGCCCCCATACCCTCTGCGAAGGGCCGACGAAGTTTTAGCGGTACTAACATCTGAGCCCCCGGCGGCACACGAACGGTTTCAACGACGGACGCTGGTATGGTTACGAACGCCGTCCGAATCACCGAAGGGGAGGGTAAAAACGCCATGCGCCGTCCCGACGGGAGCTCAATACATCCCTGGTCTATCAAAATACGGATCGGCATTTTTCCCAAGAAGTCTGTCCCCAGCAGGCACGGAACCGCCAGTGAGGAGGAGACAAAAATCGGGCCTGATAATTTGATATCCCCAATACAAATTTGCGCTCGAATTTGTCCAATAATACCAAGGGAGCCCCCATTCGCCGCATAGAATGGGACATTAACTGGTAGTAAGGGACGGCTTTGGACAGGCAAAATGTTGTAAATCAATTCGGAAATAATGGTCGCCGATGCCCCCGTGTCAACCAGGATGCGTACCTCAACCCCGTCAATAAGTCCCACGACGGCCGACGACCCTGACGATGCGGCCACAACGCGATGGGCCAACGCGGACCACTGCCCGGGCTCGATTCGAGTCCCCACAGTGGTACGCGCCGGCCCGTCGCGATGCAACGTCGTCCCCCCATTTGTTGCGATGCGAGAGTGTGCGACAGGTGTGTGTGTTGGCCAAACATGTGTGGTGTCGCGACTCGCCGGATCATGCTGATGGAGCTTGGGAGGAGGAGGAGGCCCGGTGTCCTGGCGAGGCGTCGTCCCACGCTGTCGGGGAGAGCGGCACCCCGAGGCGACATGGCCCCGGACGCCGCAGTTGAAGCAGCGCGGAAGCGGCGGCGGCGATGACGGACGGTCGAAGCGGCTCGACCCATCCCGGGCCGGCCGCGCTCCCGTCCCCTGCTGCCGACGATGGTTGACGGCGAAGACCTCCTCCGCCGGAAGGGTGGCTGCCGCCACCGCACGCCCAGCCGCTGCCCTGCTGGCCTTCCGCCGCTGCGACAGCAAGTTGGCGTGGAGGAGTCGCGCCGCTTGTAGAGAAGTCATCTCAGAATCCTCCTGTGCCACGACGGCGATGTCCAGGTCGTCTGCTAGCAGGAGGATTTTTTCAGTTACCATGGCGTCGACCCCGTCCTCGTCCATGCGAGGAAAAGCTGTCTTGGCCAATGCCAGGAGGCTTGTTCTGTAAGCCAGCGGCGACTCCTTCGCGCCCCGCTGGCGGTCGTAGAACTGCTGTCTACACTCCGCGGAAGGCCCGTAGACTCCGGCCAGCAGCTGCAGCGCCATCGGCAGCGTAGAGCGCCTTTCCTTCGGCGCCGATGTTAGGGCGGCAAGCGCGTCGCCGTCCAGGAGCGCCGGCAGGGCGCTGAGAGCTTCAGCGTCTGTCCATTTGGCCATTTCTTGGTGGGCGAGGAAGCGTCTTTGGAAGCCGCCCCAGTCGCCCTCTGCGCCCACGAATTCTTTAAGCGGGGGCAGCCTTTGGTGCAGCGCAGCGGTTGCCGTGGAGTCCCGTGGGCTGCTGTCTCCCCGACTCGGCTGTGTCTCGGCGCGAACGGCAGATGGCATCGCCTGTCGCAGCCTTGATGACGCGCCCTCCTCCGTCGTTGATGCGGCAGCCCCAGCGCGGCCGATGTTGGACCCCAGGTTAAGGTTGGCCACGCCCCTAGCGGTCGCCGCGTCGATGGCGGGAAATTCAAAATTTGAATCTTCAGAAATGGCGGGAAGGCGCTCCGGACGCCGGCTCCCCTCGCCCCGCGGTGGACCACCAGCCCCCAGCCGTGTGATGTTCTCCAGCGTAGCGGCAGCGGCGTAGAGCAGTTCAGCCAGCCTCTCGTGAGCCAGTCTCAGGTCGTCTGTCCGCTGCTCCTCTTCATGGCGACGCTCCGGTAAGAACGCGTCCGGCCCCGGCTGCACGTTGTCCTGTTGAGCCATCTCGGGCTCGACAATTTCGGCGGCGTCTTCCGTTTGCTGTTCCCTGGCTCGAGCTGATTGGCGCGTGTCCATGGTCTTAGTTCTTCTGACGCCAGATGTAATACTCTTCAAGACGCGTGGACAACGTGGTAAGGCACACGTATTTATTTGCACAATGTCTTACAGCACTGGAGGGATGTATCGGCCCCCTCACCCGTACAACTGGGAATTCACCCCTAGCTAGCCTTCCTAGCCGAGTCCTCCGCTAACGGGCTAGGGGAGGCTATCTGGCCCGACACTGGTTAGTCGGGCTACGGTACCCGGAATCCCAGAGATCTAACTCTGGTTCCGGGACCACGCCACTGGCTCCAGCCTGCGCTGCCCTTACAAGGGCGGCGTCCCAGGGGGAGTCCAGGGCCTATCTGGCCGGTCTTCTGTCTTCCCTTAACTACCCTAAGACTGAGCCCCGAGCTCTCTGGCTCATCCCTTTTTATACCCCCCTAGAGGATCGAAACCCCCCTCACGCCGTCCAGTGCGGACGTCGTTGCGGGCACCACCCCGTGTGCTCACGGAGTCCCCGCCCACTGTGTTTGTTATCCGTTAGCCCCTATGCAAACAGCCCCACACAAACAGCCCCTCTGTAACAGCCCTACACTTGTATCTTACATCAATAACTTGCCAATAGATATATTTACAGCATGTATGCCTAATCCACTTGCGTTTGTCACCTCTACATGGTTAGTGGACCACATGCTAACATTTTATTATTCAGAAAAGGCTCACCAAGTATTACATCTATTGCAGAAGGTGCCTTCAATTGGATGTTTGGCAAATTTCAAAAGTAATTTGTGGAGGTGTCATTATACACCCCTTCCACGGTTCAGTTACAAGTTTAAATTACATTTCACGAATCAATGTTTGTTCTTGCTTGTTGCATGTATAGTGTATAAAACGCTGTAAATAGAATATCCTGATCCCTTTCACCTGCTTAAATAAGTAAATTTGAACTTTAGTTCTTCCATGCACAAAGATGATGCATGGATCATCAGCATAAGAATGAATTAATATTGTTATATGTGGGAGGAAACCAAAGTACATCAGAGTCCCTTTTATACAGATGGGTCATTAGCCTACTTGCCTTACCCCTGTTTACCGGCCACTTCACAAGCCACACAGTTTTCGGTTTTTGCATGATCCACGAAACCCCAAATGCCTTATTTTGAGCAGGACAACACTCCCCGTTGAGCGACCATTACACGCTCCCCTTATAAGCGTGTGAATGCATGACGTCGGCTGATGGAGGTTTGTGTTTTGTTTGCATCTCGCAGAGACGGAGAGCTCTGGGGGGGAGCTCAGGGACGCGGGCAAGAAGAGGCCCCACAGCGAGAGTGCCGGTGTGCCAAGCAACAGCGACGTTCCGTCCGACGCCAAGAGAGTGTGTGTTAACGGGAGTGAGGAGGAGACGGAGGCCGCCCCTGAAGGTGACACTCACCCCAATTAGACAGTGGTCTGAGTAGCTCTCCCAGACCGCCGGCAGGGTGAGTGCTTTTCATCTTTTTGCTTTACTCATGTTTATTTTTGCTTAATTTGTATTTTTTCCACGCAGTTTCTTAAGAATGGGGAAAAAGGAAAATAAAAATTGGTGACACTTTTTTTTAAATAAAGAAACGACTGGCTTTGCAAAGTGTAACCGAAGCATTAATCAGCGTTTTGACCAAGTAAACATTTAAACTTGGGTGCGATTTATTCCACTGAGCCATTCATATTTACAAAGGTCCTGGCTTCAATGCACCCTGCCTCTGATTTTTTTTGTGCGCCGGAAGATTTGACAGCGAGCAATTGGTGGTCCAGCTGCTGCTTACATGCCAGTGATGACTACCTGTGTGGGAAGCCAACTTTCTGCCTGTGGTCTCTCCTGAAGGTGAAGCACAGAGGGAGCGTATCAGGCCTGCCGTGGCACAAGCTAGACTTGTCTAGAGGGTTTGAAGATTCTAGGTACCTGTCATGCCCCTCCTGTGTCATCCATTTCTAAAAAAACATCACTCAAAGTATTGCCTCCCTTCTGCACTCCCCAATCAGTGTTGAGTGTTGTGTGTGTGTGTTTGCATCAGTGTTTGTGTTTTTATATTTTCTTCTTGCTCTTATTTGTTTTTGTTTCTGTCCAGTAACGTTGCAGTATGTTGCACTTTTCTGTAACCACCAAAATGTTTACAGTGCAGTTTTGTTTGCACACTGCCAGCTACAGAGCATTACACTATCTTGTTGCTTTGTTGGCCCAACATAATTTAAAATTATCATTGAAATCTTAAAATGTTTGAAATAACGATTTGTAATAGCACACATATGTAAAAATGTGCCTACAATGGCTTTGTCTATTTTCTCTTATCAGTCCCCCCTGACTTTAACGATGGCAATAAACCCAGGTAACTCTGCCTAGTTAGGTGAACTGTACCAGCATCACGGCTAGAACCTTTACTGTAATCAGATCACCAAAGGTACGAGTAATCCCACATTGCTTTGTTTTTGGTGTGTATTCGGTTTTCAATAATTTTGCATGTACCGATTGATTATTTTCTATGATTTCATTTATTGAATACTAGGAAATAATTCCAAAAATTATATTAGGTGAAATTATCTTGTCAGCAGCTTGAGTTGATGCGAGGACAAGATCAGACAACAAGATTACACAACATAGCCACATTCATAATTCTGTTTGCATGGTTTTATCATAAAATAAACTACATTATTATGTTTTATTGCAAAGTACAGCAAAAGCTCTGTTATCTGACATCCATGGGGGAATGGAGGGTGCCCGTTAATAACATTTTTGCCAATTATCTGACAGTTATAGTTATGTTTCGATTTAAAGCTATCATGACTGCAGGGATTCATCTTCTTGGTTATTTCGGTAAAGTCACGTAGAAGGGAAATAATAAAATAATAAAAATAAAACATAAAATAATTCTCACGACGAGGTTCATTCAGACGCTGTCTTTCCGACAGACCTGTTCTTCACCTGAGGGGGACGGCTGCTTGCGTTGTGGCCGAAACGTCGTGATAATTATTTTATTATGTTTTATTTTTATTATTTTATTATTTCCCTTCTACGTGACTTTACCGAAAGAACCAAGAAGAGTTATATTTATGGTTCACATTTTCCAAGCACATGCAACTTTTAAAGAAAAAAACTAAGCCTACATTTTAACCATGATATAAGAAAATACTATTTTACAGAGGTACTCGCCAGTCAGTTGTAGAGCATTCTACGTTTTATTTTATTTTTATTAATTTTTATTTCATTTTTTACCTACGTGACTTTCCCGTAAAAACTAAGAGTATTAATCCTTGCAGTCACAAAAGCTTCAAATCTAGAATTTATTCTACGTTGATTGTAGAGAAGCAGTGGGGCCGTTTAGAGTACAGTATACCATGGTACAGTACTGTCTGTACAGACTGCCGCTCCACTAGCGCCACCACTTGGCAGCCACATGAAGCTTCTGTAAACGACAGATCTACGATAAGTGCACGGCAAGATGCCAGTTGGCTGTCAGGATTTTTCCAGATACGTGAAGGAAGATTTGTATTGCCTTCTATGACAGACGCCGGTTAATAGAGCATTCCGATTGGCAAAGTGCTGAATAACATAGCTTTTGCTGTATATCATTACATTCTGTCTGAAAATCCGAATAATTGTTTATCAGAAACTGGAAAATAATTAAGTCACCCAACACTGACTCTTGTCCGGTTGCATCACAACCCGTTTTACTGTTACATTACATGCCACGTTCAGCATGGATGCTGAAGAGCTAAAGGCTCGAGCCACCAGAGAACACTGTCTTCCACTTGAGAGTGAGTCTTGGGGGGTCTACAGTTGAGTCCTGCAATGCTGAAATTAATTCAACATATAATTTTGTTTTTATACACCTGATTCTGATTGTTTCTGGCAGTTAATGGACTGACCACTGAGGTATCTCACAACAAGGGTTTTTGGTGGGTCAGCTATTTTAGGACACCCATGAGATCTCTTTTTAAATGTTACCATCTGCTGGAAATCAGACATGAAGACCCCGGGTAATTATGAGCAGCAGGACACTTAATCACAACTAGAAAGGAAAGCGAGTATGTGGTGATGCTTAATTGTATTGGTGGCACTTGGCCAGCAGTGGGAATGCCACATTGCCATATGTCACCATGGCATGACTAGTAGTGACTTTATGCAAAGTACGAATTTGATCAACCGTAGGGGGGATGATGGCTCGAGTCAACCCTTGACCGGCATTTGAATTCAGGATCTTGTGATTGTGATTCACGTAATTTAAATGTGGCCATCTTGGCTGTATTTTAACCCAAGTTCTCAAAATGTTGAGATTGACACATTTTACTCTTAAGTATAAAAGTCAAAACGCCACTTTTAACTCTTAGGTTAATATGTAATTCGTGCAAATAAAAAATCCCATCACCCAAGCTGTCAAAACAGTGATGTTCACATCTGTTGCAATTTCCATTTAAATCTTGAAAATACTCTTTAGAAATTCCATGCAAGTGAACATACTTGCATATCTGGCCATCCTCAGTGTCGACCCATGTATTTTAATTTAACTTCACAAAAAGTCAGCATTGTAGTGATGAGGCATCTCAAGTGATTGCACGATGAAGAAGTTGTGTTTTACACAACATTGCTAACTGTTACGTTGTGTGCGTTTGTTTTAATCCTTACAGCAGTTGATGTTATTGTGAACAAACGTAGCATCATTCAGGCCTGACATGTTTTCATGGCGTGCTGCTCATTTCCTGGCATAGATTTTGCATACATTTGCGGTGTGCTTGGCTCACACTCCCTGCTTGGTTATAATATAGAGTCAATGTGTCTACATGCTCAAGTGAGTATTGCGGGGCACTGTTCTGTTGGCAGCCCTTGGCCAGCATTAGAATTTCCACATCATGGCAGTGGCCATTCTCATTATAGGGCACCTCCTGTTGACTTCCCACAAAGTAGTACTTATTTGACTGATTCTGGAAAAATAATGAGCTAAATCGACATGACAGGAATCATGACCTTCAAATTGTTGATCACTTTACCAACAGCACCACTCAGTTGGATAATGGTCAAGTATTCAATCAGTGGTGGAAGTGCCTTATTCCTATAGCAGTGACCAATCCAAGTTTCAATTTTATTCACCTAGCTGTGAACACTTCTGCATTACTCCCCAGTGGCAGTCTTTTGTCAGTTATGATTTTCAACTCCTGACCCGGCGCCATTTGTCTTGCCCTGAATGACCCGTTTGTGAACAATTTTCCACTGCTAGGGGAGCAGTTGCTCACCAACACTGTGTGTCACCACTGAGACATTGTTGTTGATGATGATGCTAATGATGATCCTGATGCAGCTGTGTGTCCTGCTCAAATGCGTTTTGATTTTCCTTACGACTCGGCCTGGCAACTGTAGTCACCCCGGTAAATGAATAATTTGCTTGGCCCCCCCACCACGAGCAGCAAGCCTTGTGCATCGCTCGCGTCGATGTGAGCAGCCCGCAATGTTAACAAGATACTCTCTGTGCAGGTATTCCAGAGGTACCCGTTTATAAGTCTATCCCGCCGTACGCCTTGTGTTGAAGCCCAGCTCAGTGTAGCTAGTGACAGAGCCGCTGCTTGTGTGTTTGGTAGCCGTGTTATTGGTTTCTTATTTTGTATCATTCCAGTGGCCTTCGGTGACCAGTTGATTTGTGAAAAGACCTCTTGATAAGGCACCTTGGTGCAGTGGCTATGCCTTAATATATAGTGCATTACTGCATTAAAAGATACGAGTAAATAATAATATATTTTATGCGATATGCATTTTGAGTATTTCAATTATATCAAAATAATTTGGCAGATTTAAATAATATAAGGAATGATAGCTGTTGTGTTTGGGAACTGGAATGTCACTGTTTTTTCTGGCAAAAGCACGTTTGTTAACTGTAGCTTAATTCTTTTGAATGTCAAAAACTTGATTACGCTACTTGGGAAAAGGTTGAAAAATAATCCTTTAAAGAGGTATATTAATCATTACAGTACTTGCTAATGCATGTGCATGTTGCAAATCACGTTGATAAATTAATCAATTCCTCGTTACGATCTTATTTATTGGCTTGGGAATATTGTAGATTGCTTTGGTGTATATCCACTGGGCTCTACCAGTCAATACTATAATTTGCTTCATATGTGACAGTGGTATGTTATATTTGTATCTACACTGCAGCCAACCCCGCCAAACAATTGTGCTAACTGACTGGCAGATGCAGCGGCATCTGCCAAAGTAAGCGACCTGCCAGGCGTGCCCAACAGAAAACCAGCTGGGAAAAAACGTGGTTTTGCCAGAGCCAACATTTTACTCGGAAAGCAGTCACAAGCGTTCGGTTCTAATTATCCAGCGCTTCTGTGTTTGAACAGCGCACGGAGTGGAAGACTCGCCCGACCACAGCTCGACGCTTAGAAGATTGCCTCCTTCCCCCATCAAGCCTCTGCCCACCGGTTACGAGGTGACCACAGATAGCCAACCAGTCGTCGTTGAGTGTATTTGGCGGACGGTGCATATCGGGTCTGATGAATTAGACATGCCAGTAATGCTCTAAAACCGTCTACCACAACAACCTATCACCATATAACGTCCATTTCACCCCCACTCGCCTCGGTGCATACGCTTGAAGTTTTGGGGCTAAACTGGGTTTGAGTTTATAGATGCAGCAGTGAATTGTTATGACTTTTGTTAATTTTTAAAGCCTTTTTAATTTCTATTACCAATATTGCAATTCACTGATTGTAATGCAGGAGCCTGTAGACCTGGTCCTCCCACAATTAGGGGCTTGCTGAACAGTGCTGCTGTTCACTAGCGTAGGCCTCTTGGTGCCGTTCAAAGTCTCGCCAACCGAGGCTGTCGAAGGGCACCCTCGTGGAATCTGGTGTTTGTCGATTCAGCATAGAATCTGGTGTTTGTTGATTTGTTATTTTTTGTTTTGTTTTAATATGTATCATCCACGATGTGAATAAATACCGTTTGCAAAAAATATAATTTCTGTTGTACACAGAGGTGGTGTGTTTATTGTGTAACCAGATGCGAGCCTGTAGAGATGGTTTGTCATTTTGCAAGGTATTCAACAAAAGAGCATTGTTGAAGTGGCCTCATGTTTACACCACTGAATGGTGATCATCAATTAAAATCAATTGTAGCGTTAATTATAAATGCATAAAATAATGCGTGAGAACCAATTACTGTAAACGATCTGTATTTTGTATAATTTTACATGACGCCTGTGGCCACGAGATGCTATAATGTACACACCATGTTAAATGACTGGATTCTTGATCTGAATTGCAAACCCCACATCATGACAATTCATTCAATCGCGTGGCAGAGAATTGCTACAGGCCTACACAAAAGCGTGCCCATCTGTTAGTATTTCTGAGCCACTTCTGGAAATTCCACGTATCCAATATCGACACTGGCAATCGGTGTTGGTGGCTTTACGAGTGCCTTTTTGAACGTGTACTACACTAGTGTTGAGTAATTTAATGTAACGTGGGCACGTGATCCTTAAGCATCACGCCTCCTAAGCGTATTTTAAGTGACTGATGTATCTGTGGCTAAGATGCAGTGTAATAGTGTTACCGCAGAAGTGAAATTTGATGTCCACTATTCGGCATTGCAGGTAAGATGAGAGACGCACGCGCATGATCCTGTGAGTGTGTGTGTACGGACCCGAGTGTGAGCGAGTGTGTGTGTATGAGCGAGTGTGTGTGTATGAGCGAGCGTGTGTGTACGGGCCCGAGTGTGTATGTATGCGTATGTGTGAGAGCGAGTGTCTGCCTGCACCTCGCCACCTACCCAGCAAGCGAAGCCAGCCCCAGTACCAAATGTAAGAATAAAATTACTCAAATAGTATTTAAATATGAATATAACTGTCGACCAAAAAAAGGGTAATAGATACAAAGCAAAACGTGTGAAGTGGCGACGTTAGGACCCCCCCCCCCCATTCCATTGTTTTGAGAAAATACTTTGAATTACGGCGTTTTGATATTCGTCACCCTTCAGGAGCGCATCCCTGACGTAAACCGATATATTACTGTACAATCAAATTTATGAAAGTAATTTTGAATATATATTAAGACGTGTGGACAAGTTACAGCTATAATTTGATCTCGTGGGGGAAATGTTGGAAAGCATATCTGTGCAAGGCTCGTGGATGCAGCAGACGTGATTTGAGTAACAGATAAAGTTGCCAATCACAGTGGGTCTGTAGGGGAGAAGCTAACATGTAAACAATATTGCTTATCGCATAATTTCTATTTGTTACATATTTAATGCCAGTAAATCATGTCCTGAAGGTAATCAAGGGACAGAATGAGGGCGTAGCCAGAGGGCGGGGGGAAGACCCCGCTAGGGGGATAAAAGGGCAGCGTGCTCCAGTAAAAGGGGGGTCTTCATTGTGGGTGACTCGGTGGGTCGGGTCACGTCGTCGGGCTGGGATCTTGAATCGCCTCGTGTGTAAGGGGGTTACATAGTGTTACACAGTGTTACATAGGGGTAGTTACGTTTACAACAATTATAGAACCCGTCCCGTAAGGGAAGTTAAATAAAGACTCGCCTCAACTCGCGTAGTGTGTCTTTATTGAAGCACTACACACATAAAAGTAACGCGCTCAGACACCACATCCTGTATTTTTAAATACAGCGCTTATACTCTTAGGTTTTTTCGGTAAAGTCAGTAAAGTAAAATTAAATACAAATTCACATTTCATTTTACTAGATCATCTTAACCAAGCGTGTTTTACCATAGGCCCTGAATTTGTTTTAATGTAATTTACGTTGACTAGCGAGCTTAAAATATGAAACATAACGCCGTCCTAAATTAGGGGCAGTCCATAAATGACGTCACGCACCTAGGGGGGGGGTGAGAAATGTGACGTCACATCAAAATGCGCAATTTTAAATAAATATAGACAACGTTCTACTTAATTAAATAGACTTTTTAATAAATGTTTTCTCCTACAACAGAGTGCAGGCCACAAAATTCGCACTACAATGACAATAGTTTAAAGCGAGATTTGAAGCTTTCGTGACTGCAAGGATTCATATTCTTAGGTTTTTCGGTAAAGTCACGTAGGTAAAAAATTAATAAAAGTAAAATTTTAAAAATCACGTTTCGGAGACAACACAAGCTTCCGTCTTCAGGTGGAACCGTCACAGCACGCTAGCTGTATCAAGTAAATGAGAGATTACAAGAGATACCACTCCGTATATATAATGGTTGAGGGGGGAGGGGGATGGGCCAGGAACGGCCCACTTTTTATTATTATGGTAAGGTGCGGCTTGAGACTACGGCTAGACTACATAACAAATGACTGAGCCTTTATTATGGCGAGGTGCGGCTTGAGACTACGGCTAGCCTACATAACAAAATGCTGCGAATGAGACCGAGCCTCTGCCATGTAGATGGTAAAAGCACAAAAGCAGGTCAGGAAGAAACAGCCTCCTGCTATGTTGTTTGGTGGGTAAAACTTATAGCACGAAACCAGTGTGTGAAAAAAGAAGCTAAACCTGGTAAAACAAAACTGGCTGTCTATCAGTAACCTGTACAGTAACTCAAGAATAGTCTGTCAAATAAGATGGTCAAAATAAGTGTATTTAAACAAACCTTTGATGGTAGCCAGAAGGTTTGCAGAGCACGAAGCCATACAAATATACAAACAAAGGCATAATTTCAACCGTGATGATGGTTACAAACTGAGTAATCATTGGAAAGATGTGATTAACCATGCAAAAAAGATTTAACTACACTTATTTGGACCATCTTATTTGACAGACAACTATTCTTGAGTTACTGTACAGGTTACTGATAGACAGCCAGTTTTGTTTTACCAGGTTTAGCTTCTTTTTAAATCCTTTATATTAAGTTCGCGTGCTTGCTTGCTTGCTTAGGACCGTGCAAATCTTTCGGTCGTTTTTTAATCCACTTCCCGTGATCCAATCGAGCTGACATTTTCCACACAGACTCGTTGTGTGTGACAATTAATTTTCGTGAAATTTTTTTTCCAAAATTTTACACTGTTTAGGGAAAACTAATTAAATATTTAATTACCAATTGCTTAATACTGGCAGACCATCATCTGACCCATAGATTGCAGCCATCTCAAGCCAGAGGACGAGAGAACTCTAGCCGCCACGCATATAAAGGATTTAGAGTGAAAAACTTTTTTTTACGGGTTTACTTGTTTCACACAGATGCTTGAGGCAAGGCTTCGGTGGTACGGCCATGTGATGCGAAGTGAAGAGTCATCAGTGGCCAAGACTGCCGTGCGTATTGAGCCAGAGGGCCGCCGTCCACGCGGACGTCCGAAGAAGCGATGGATGGACCGAATAAAGGAAGACATGAAGACGGTCAACGCATCCCCTGAAGATGCCCTGGACCGAGCCAAATGGAGAAGACAATGCCGAAAAGCGGACCCTGCGCCACAGCGGGAACAACGCTAGGAAGAAGAAGAAGACTTGTTTCACACACTGGTTTCCTGCTATAAGTTTTACCCACCAAACAACATAGCAGGAGGCTGTTTCTTCCTGACCTGCTTTTGTGCTTTTACCATCTACATGGCAGAGGCTCGGTCTCATTTGCAGCATTTGTTACGTATGCTAGCCGTAGTCTCAAGCCGCACCTCACCATAATAAAGGCTCAGTCATATGTTATGTAGTCTAGCTGTAGTCTCAAGCCGCACCTTACCATAATAAAAAGTGGGCCGTTCCTGGCCCATCCCCCCCCCCTCAACCATTACAAGAGATACCACTCCGTGGTATCTCTTGTAATCTCTCATTTACTTGATACAGCTATCGTGCTGTGACGGTTCCACCTGAAGACGGAAGCTTGTGTTGCCTCCGAAACGTCGTGATTTTTATTTTACTTTTATTAATTTAAATTTTTTACCTACGTGACTTTACCGAAAAACCTAAGAATATAGTTTAAAGCGATTTGAAGCATGTTTTATTTGGGGGAGGGGGGGCAGAGCTTTGTTACGTCCTATTTGAGGGGGGGGGTCTGACTTTTTGTGATGGGGGGGGGGTCAAAAAGCGTCCAAAATCGCGTAACGTCATTTATGGATGGCCCCTTATCTCCAAATGATGTCAAATTGTTTTTAATGGAACACTGAACTTGATCATGAAAGTTAACACCAATGTACCGTTGTCCAAATCGTTGCGTATTGGCTACTATGACTTGATTCAGATGCACGGTAATGATCAAAATATAGAACTGAAAATTGCATAAATAAGCATGCATGTACGCAGGTTAAATTACTTCATCCAAACTTAAGAAAAGTGGGCTTCGACAACACGTCGTGAGATGGGATAATGGCATCTGGTCGTGAATAATAACTGGAGTGGCATGCTAAGAAATGGAACACATTGGAGAGTACACCCATTGTTACATCGTCGGATCGTGAAAGGTGGCAGCAGCTTGAGGCATTCATCCAGCAGTGGGTTGATAATAGCTCATGGTCATCTTTGCTACCATTAGGTGATATTTTCATAATGTGTAATGCACTTTGAGGTACTGTAATGCATTTTACTTTGGGAAGTCTCATTGAGTCACAATACTTTATCAGGGGGTCCTGCTACATTTGGATAGTTGGCCAATAATGAGAGGTTGGCTTCGTGTAGGGAAAAAATTACAATAAGAAACCCCTTCACAGACAGATTCAATAATCAATTTATGTACTTCCATCTCCTGGCAACCTCGTAGTCAACCTTACAACACCTGATCTTAAGAAACCCGTCATTGAAGTACTAACCAAGCTCAACCTCAGCATTGTACATTCAAATAATTTATCCAGAGGATAAAGGTATGTGCCCATCCCAGCGTCTGGGCCGCGCCAGCTCAAAATCTCCCAACAGGAACACGTGGATAAGAGAACACGCTGGTTAACGTGTGGATTAGAGAACACGTGGATTCGAGAACGGGTAGTTAACACGTGGGTTAGAGAACACGTAGGTTAGTTACTACGTGGATTAGAGAACACGTAGGT